TCTTGCTGCAGTTACCACCTTTCCTTCTGTTGTAACACACACGGGATTTAGGGTATCAAGCTGAAGTGTGATGTTGAGTTCTTCAGCGTACTTAGCTGCTTCCTTTACGAGCGACTGGTGGCCTGATGCCATGGCGTGTTCTTCAAATTCTCTAACTGCTTCCATATTCTGGTCCGAGTTCTGATACAATTTCAGTAGCGATTTGATTTTAGTGATCTTGTACTCGTGTTCGACTGATCGCAGGCCTCTACCCCCTTTCTCCCTCGGTAGATATAACAAAGAAGTTAGGCTAGCTGGGTGCTTGCCACCGTTCTCAACTATGATCTTCCGAGCTGCTCTGTCCACATCTCTTAACTCTGATAGAGGCCAATGCTGTGTCCACATTAAGTACCGCAGAACCGGGAGTGCATACTTATTAGCTGCCTGCACACGGTTACAATCAGACAGGGGGCTGGACCATATAATAGATATCCTGCGTAGATACTCTTTAGCCCCACACGCTAGGGCCAGCCGTTCATCCTGTCGAACGTTCTCTAGCACCCCCAGGAATTTGTAGTGTTTTCCTTCTCCAAGAGCCGTGATGGTAGTTGTCTCGTCCATCCTCATACCAGACTCGTCTAGCACTTGGGCTCCCCTCTTCACGTGTATCACTGAGCACTTTTTCTGATTTCAGTGGAGGCCGATGTCCTGCATCGCTCCTCTAGTCTCTTTCAGCACTCGGTTCAGCTTGCTCTCGGAGGCAGCAAAAACCTTCAGGTCGTCGATATACAGAAGATCGGTGACTTTGACTCCTATAGGCTTGGATAACCGGTATCCCTCTGTTGCCCGCAGGCGCCACGCTACTGGGTTCGGGCACAGTGTAAACAGTCTAGGACACAAAGCGTCCCCCTGGGGTAGTCCCTTCATGAACCTTATTTTTCTAGAAGTCTCTCGCACTTGCCTTGTTGTAGCTACTACTTTAGTATTCCAGCTCGCACACAACTTGCGTATAACTTCACCCAGCCAGACGGGAAGCCTGTGTACGTCAGTCATTGCGCATAACCAATCATGATCGACGGAGTCGTAGGCTTTGCGCACGTCAATCCACATATTACTAATGTTATTATTATAATAATTATTATTATTATTATTGTTGTTATTATTTAAGAGACTATCAAGTCAGTTTATTACTATCAACATCAGAACCTGCTTCACGCGTAAAAAATGCATGGGTCCTGTTTCTTTGCGACTTTGGATAAGTTTCGGCTTAAAATAGCCGCTTTAAATTTTAAGGCCTGGTTCAGACGCCGTACTTTTCATGTGACGCACCTAACTGAATAAGTTCGACTTTGGAGCGACACTGGCGCGACATCTGATTCAGACGGCGTACCGTGTGTCGAACCTAAGTTAAGTTCGACAAAAGTTCG